GCACAGACCGGCTCCCCCGCCCAGCTCGGGCCCAGCGCCGCAGACAGCCCCCGCCCGCAGGGGCACCGGACCCCGGGCTCAGCCCTTGGCCGAGCTGTGCTGCAGCCCCGGGCCGAGCCCGTGTGGGCATCGGAGCCTGGCGGAGCAGCAGGGCCCGTTTCCTGCGGTGAGAGCCGCCCCCGCCTCCTGCCGCCCGGCTGAGTGACGACCCCGGGATGCTGCGCCCTGGACCAGCGGCAGCCAGTGGAGACAACTGTGAAAACAGCTGCATTTTGCCGCTGGGGGAGTCCGGAGGCTGGCTGAGAAGTTGCCCTGACAGAGGAGAAGGGCTTTTAATGGAGCAGAGGAACTTGGACGCGAGTCCTCGCAGCCCACGTAAACGCTTTGATTTAGGTCCCCGTTTCCCGGGCTTCACTCCCCTTCTGATGTCTGGGCTTCTCTAATTCTTTGCTCTCCGGGTCATAGATCTTTAAAATTCAAGTTGTTGCAAGACTGAGATTGGGCGGATAAGTCACATGGCTTGGGTTTTTTTCCCCTGCTCCTTTATTGGAGAAGTCGGTCGGCACCGGTGTATCTGGTGAGAGGGCCAAAGGGAGCTTTGAAATCCACTAGCTGCAAAGGGTTTGCAATGGAGATGAATTGCAAGAGTTTAAAATTGTGTGGGAACTGAAATGAGCAAAGGAAGAACTGGTGTTTGTCCAGCATTGTTTCCAGTCAGTGTTTTGTTTCGGGTTGGGGAGGCTGTTTTGGGGTTGGGCGGGTTGTTTTTTGCGGGGATTATTTGTTTTTTGGTTTTGCTAATTAGCAAGTAGGGAATAAAAGTAGGGCAAAGACATGGACAAAGCAAGTGACTATCAGTGGATTTTTTCCTCCATTATTTGCCCAGTTCTACTCATTACTTTCCTGCCAAAGCCACTGGGGTTACTGGGGCCACAATTTTAGTATTTGGGAGCATGGAAAGACTGCAAAGAAATGACAGAGAATACTCAAACAGAAAGGTTGCTGTCAAATGGGGGGTATCCTAGTCTGTGGCTTTATTACTGCCTCAGACACTGGCTCCTTGTGTTAGGAGGGGCACATCACTGACAACAGATTGTCTGGCTGCAAGAATAAGATAGCAGTAGCACTTACTTATTTCAGGCTTGTATTTTACAGTTGAACAGTGTTTGAAAAATGCTTTGAGCTCTTCTGCAGATGGATAAACATATCCAAATTAGTATATATTCTTTTTAGAATTAGCACATCAACAGACAGTAGTAATCTACTTCCCGTGCTCCCCAGATCAGCCTTTAAGTCATCTCCTTCAGTTATCATCACACAAAGCTGATTGGCACGCACCATTGCCATTATTTTTCTAAATGCTGAAGAGAGCTTTGCTTCCACAGCCCAGGAGGTTTCAGAGGTGTACATAAGGTTAGAACTGACCTTGGTTATCCAGCAGGGTGAAATAACCCTACACTGCACCTTGACCACTGCAAGAGAGGGAGATTCCAAGCACATCCTACCCACCCACACCCACTGGCATAACCTAATCCACAAAATGCAGTAGTGACGTTGTTCTGGGATGCCCCTGGCACTTACTATTGAGACGTCTGTCTTTAACATGCTTAAGAGAGGCTGCAAGGGACACCTCTAGAGCAGGATATGGGCTAGTAAAAATGACTCCATTCATCGGTGATTAAAGTCAAACATAGAATTATGTTCCGCTGCTTTACATTTGGTAGACCCCAGTTTTGAAGGGGAGTGAATTCTCTGGGTGGAAATCTCCACAAGTCCATTGTGCACGTATAAGGCTCTTGGTTTTGAGGACAGTGTGACTGAGTGAACACAAGATAGATCTGAGAGAGAATCACCAGCACCATCTCTCTGACAACCCCTGGGAAATTCACCAGGCCAAAAAATGTCAACTGCATATCTTAGGAGCAACCTGCTCCATATTATCCAGCTTCCCCACCACCACTCCACCCCAAGGTGAACAGTGGTTTGGCTAGCACCTGAGGTAACGCTGACAGCAAGGTTCTTCCGGAGCTGTGTGCTGTGGCAGATAATGCAGCCCCAATTCTGCCGTCCCCCAGAATTTCTCCCTGAGTTCCAAGCTGGAACGCCTGGAGTTTCCCAGACCGCCCATGGGTCCTGTGGAGGGAAGGGTTGTTTTGACACTTCATTTTTTCTAAACCTGCCTGAGAAATCTATTCAGCCAGGTTGGAACTGGCCTGCTGACAAAGGGCCTGAGCTGGATCTTGAATTATTGAATTGTTGTAGTGTCCCCAGGGCTGAAGCAGTATGGCCATGTGAGCCACACTGGGGTGTGTAAAGCAGTGGGGTCTGCTCCATGCCAGAGGGGCTAGATTGCAGCCCCATGGCAAATCCCTGGACCATGGAGAGGGGAGATTTGGCTTGTGTTTCTCACCTCTACTCCAAGCTTAGTTCAGCCCACAAAGCTCAATTACTCAGCCTTTATGCACCATGAGGTGGGAGCGGGTGAGTAATTCTCTGTTCATAATTTTTTAGCCATGTGTATGTTCCTGATAACAGGCCACTAGAGACCAGAAGATAAGTTTTCTCTTGGCTTTTGTCTGCATTTCCTCAATTATCCTGCTATATCTTATGTTTCCCATGTAGGCTATAACAGCCTGTAATCCTCAGGTTAGGACGGGTAGGGGGTGTTTCAGCAGCAAATGTTTTCCTTAGAATCAGATGATATTTAAACAATTCTCACTGCTAACAAAGCCATGTAACTTCAGTCATGGATATGCAGGACATGCCTAGCAATATGATTTCTTATGAGTTATTTGTATTCCCAATTTTAGTAGTTCCAAGCGTATTTTTGAAGTAAAATTTTGACAGGATTTTAGAAAAATCCAAGAGTCAATTAGATAAACCTTGAAAAATTTCTGTCCATCCCACTAAATATATTGTCGTGCATTATTCTGACATGGCAGCAATGTTGATTTTAATCAGGTTTATTTAAAATCACAATTATGAGGGAGCTTTGCTATTTATAATCATATTCTGGCAGGGAAAAATGACAAGTATTATCACTGTCCATGTTTTCTTTGTATAATCATGAGCCTCTGAATTGTGCAGAGCAGTCAGCAAAGTGTTCCATTTTCTCATTTTGCTCTGTGTTTTATAATCATTAGCTATTCATCACTGATGCTGTTATAAGTAGTGGCAAGCTCCTCAGTTGGTGTTGTGCATGCCTTTCAAATGTAACCCAGGCAAAAACATATTAACTGAAAACAAGTGACATGCAAACAGAAGTGAATAGCTATTTTCATATGAACAGCTATTTTTGTGTGGCAGCATTACACTAATTTTAAAGAAAAATTGAGAGAACAATAAAAATTATAGATGGTATTATTCAAAACCCTACTGTAGTATTCCGTTTTTGCTTATTTTGGAAAAAGAAAAAGAAAAAAAGAAAAAAATCCTGCTTTTTAAGAAATATGTTTTTGTTATTTTTTACACATTAATAATATTTCCCATTGTGTGAAAGTCCTAGGGTGAATATATTATTCAGCTTTGGGTAATTTCATTCCATGTTATCAGAATGTTAATAAAATTTTCCATTTTATATAGGGCATCCTAGATATTTCAATCAACTGTCAACTGGATTGGACATGGTTGGATTAGCTGCAGACTGGCTAACGTCAGCTGCAAATACTAACATGTAAGTAGTTGAATTTGGCAATATTGTTATCTAGAATATTTTTTAAAATTACGTTTTGCAGTACTTGTTGTAGAGGTATGAAAAATGCAAGGTTTTGATGCTAAACTAGGAGAAAAAGTATTTGTCTGCCTTTTAAGGTTTTAGTAGACCCTTCATGTTATTTGTATGAAGATTTTAAAGCTGGCTTTTATGTTGTCTCCCATAAACATTCATCACAAATAAAATTACACCTGTGCCAAAACCCCATGAAATGCAGGAAAATATTATTTTTATTTTGCATAATAAAATAGTAGAAATATACATATTATGGGGTAGAAATCCAAGCAGATGCTGCAGTGTAAATGGTTTGAAGAACTCAGCCATGAATTCCTCATTCACAAGAGCTAGCAACATTAATTTCCTTCTTGAACTTCACACTTACTGCAAAATACCATTCTCTGCTAAGTATAATATACAGAATATTATGGCTGTGATGTAATATAGATTAGGTGTTTAAAGCAGGAAACAGTTGTGTAATTATTTAAAGTAGTAAATTAATGTTTTAGAATAAAACATTAAATATGGACATTACTACATTTCAGGTTCACCTATGAAATTGCTCCAGTGTTTGTACTTTTGGAATATGTCACACTCAGGAAAATGAGAGAAATGCTTGGCTGGCCAGGTGGCTGTGGCGATGGGATATTTTCACCTGGTACATGATATTTCAAGCTTTTTCTGTGTTTCAGATTATGCTATAATGTCCCTGTAAAGAGTGAATATAATGAAATCCACACATCCAAGAGGACACTTTACTAACACGAATCAGTGACCTCTGCTTTATTAAAACCCTGCATATTCATGGCATTCAGGGACATGATTATTAGGGACTTTAATGTGTGTCAGTGTTGAATATTCCCTTCAAGCAAATTTCACTGCCTTATGAACAGTGAAAGTGGTTCATGGAAAAGATAATCAAAAGAGACATTTGCCCTGCAGTTTTACTATGTCCTTACTATGTTATGGATTATATGAAATGAAAGGATACAGTATTAATAATGAAGAAGAGAAATACTCTGATACCTTCCAGTCTTACAGTGGGAAGTTAAGGGAGAAGGGAAATACTTATAGGAATACTACAACTACAGAGGCTACTAAAGATCCTGGAAATACTTTTGTATCTGAATAACTTTACTCACGTGAGTTTTCCTGTTGAGTTCAATGGGACTGCTCATGTGTGTTGTTACTGCACATTCTTGAAGGAACAGAGACTTAATTCCTTGAAGGTAAATACATAAGGCAAGAAATGAATGTGGTTATCTACAGAGAAATCATTGGCTTTGACAAGCACTACTTTCCTGAGATATTTGATTTTTTTAATCATGATATTAATTCTTTTCCATTGAACTCTTTGTCACCTCCTATTTTACTTTGAAAATCTAATATTTGAAATTAATTGAAGATGTATCTCCCTTAAATCATAAAAACTATCCAACAAAAGGGCAAAGATTTAGCCTTTTGTATAGCACCTTGGCTTATCAAAACAACCAAATGGCGACTGAGAGGCATCTGTTCCTGAAAGACTAAGCTCCTGGCATAAGAGATGGAGGGATGTTTTGATTATCACCCAAGGAGAAGACTGTAGTGATAATCATCACAAGTGTTTCAGAGCCCTCACATGAACTGAGGCTGAAGTTCATCCTTCTGCCAAGGACCACCACAAGGCCTCTGTGTCACTGAGTCCCACATCTGAGATCTTAAGCAGGACCTAAGTGATTCATGGCCTGTGTTGTAGCCCTTTGCACCATGGTGATTTTCAGCCAGAGGGTAAGGGAGGACATAAGGGAGAAGGGCTGGATACTACTTATTACTAATGAGCGTTGAAATAGTACTGTATGAGCCAGATCCCACTCCTATTGAAATCAGTGAGAGTTTGGATTACATAACTAAGAACAGAATTGGGTTCTTAAATCTTTTTGCTTGTATGTCAGTTCCTGTACCTACTGCTCAGATTTCATAGCCAATGCACTCATATAGTCTTCCCATAAACAGGGGAAAGAAGCTAAACAGGAAAAGCAGGAAGCTGTAGTGTGATCTAAAAGAGTGTAGAAATAGAAGAAAATTATTAGTTTCATTGTGGTCTCGTTCATGGCCTGCATTGTGACTACCTGACAGTCAATGAATACATGGCCCCAAAGCTTTGTGTGGATTGTGGATCAAATTCAGCCTGAACTAAGTTGATCAAGTCCTATGATATACTCTGGCCCAAAGGGTAACATAAACTATAGTATAATTTACATGCCAGCTGTTAGAAGGGTCAGAGAAAAGAGGGAGAGAGAAAGAGAGAGTGTTGGGTTAACGTGGTATAACTGATACTGATTTGGCAGTAAGTGGATTAGCGAAGTGAACAGCATATGGTCATCAAGGGGTAACAGGAGGGGTAACAAGAGGGTATTATTTTTATTATTCACTGTTTATATTACAGTGGTACTTACAGGCATAGACAAAGATCATGGTCCCATTGTACAGATGGAATGTATGAGTACATAGTATGGGATGAGTCCCTATCCCAGAGATTTTACAATCTGAACAGATAACAGATGGGAGGGGAACTAGAGGTAGAGTGGGGAGAATCAACTTGCCCAGAGTGACGCAGCAGGTCTGTGAACAGAACCTGGTACTCCTGCTCTGTATTCAGGGCCCTATCCAACAGACCATATTGTCCCACAAGAGACAAACAAGGTAAAGATATGATAAAGCAAGAGGACCTCAGAACTGACACCACTTAGAATCATAGGATCATAGAAAAACAGGGCTGAAAAGGACTTCAGGAGGTCATCTAGTCCAACCACCTAGTCAAGGCAAGATCATTCCTGTATAAACTGTGCTAGAGAAGTATTTGTCTAACCAGCTTTTTAAAAAGTCCAAAGGTGGAGACTCCACAACCTCTATTCCAATGGTGAGAAAGTTCTTCCTAATCTCCACCCTAAATTTCCTTTGCTGCAATTTAAGGCTGTCGCTCCTTGCTCTGTCCTCTGCAGCCACAGAGAACAGTCTCTATCACCATTCTCTTTATAACCACCCTTTAGGTATTTGAAGACAGTTAACAAATCCCCCATTAATCTTTTCTTTTCCAGACTAAATAATACTACTTCTTTCAGCCTCTCCTTGTAAGTCATGTTTCCTAGATCTCTAGTCAATTGTGTTGCTTTCTGCTGGACTCTTTCAAATCTATCCAGATGTTTCTTGAAGTATGGGGTCCAAAACTGGACACAGTACTCTAGGCGAGGCCTCACCAGAGCTAGATAGAGGGGAAGAATCATTTCCCTCGACTTGCAGCCAACACTTCTCTTAATACAGCTCAGTATGCTGCTGGCCTTTTTTGTAACACAAGCACACTGTTGACTCATATTCAGCTTGTGATCTACTGTAACCCCTACCATCCCAGCTCCTTTTCTGCAGTACTACAGCCTAGCCAGTCATTCCCCAGTCTGTTATTGTCATTCCCCAGTGCATGTTATTGTCCCAAGTACAAGGCTTTGCACTTGTCCTTACTGGATTTCATTCAATTAATTTCAGACCATTTCTCCAGTTTACCAAGGTAATTCTGAAACATAATCCTAGACTCCATTGTCAGCAATCTCACACAATTTGGGTTCATCTGCAGATTTGCTAAGTGTATACTCAATCCATTCTTCCACATGATTAATGAAGACATTAATCAATACCAGACCCAGGGCAGACACCCTGGGGCACCCCATTTGATACCTCCTCCCAGTAAGACACAGTACTCTTGATGACTACTCTTTAAGCACAATGATCCAACCAGTTATGTATCCACATTACAGTACTTCCATTTAGATCAGTGGTTCTCAAGTTTTTTAGACTCAAGGCACCCCTCAGAAGATGCTAGCTCTTAGATTTCACTAGTTTTTGCCTACGGAAAAATAATAGAAGAGTTTTTCTAGACCACAACAGGTTAGAATGTTTTTGACACTGTGGATTCCTATTTGAAATCTCTCAATTTATCTTCTGAATTATGTTTGTACACATAACAGTGCTAATATTGTGTGGCATCCAGTGGCACCCTTGAAAGTATCTCAAAACACCCTGGGTACCATAGTGCCTGGGTTAAGAATCATTGATCTAAACTGTATTTCCTTAGCTTGTTAATGAGAATACCATGGGGAAACAGTGCGGCAAGCCTTGCTAAAATCAAGGTATAGCAAATCTACTGCTCTGTCTTCATAGAACCTGTCACCTTGTCACAGAAGGAAATCAGGTTGTTCAGGCATGACTTGCTCTTGATGAATCCATATTGGCTTTTCCTGATCACTTTTTTCTTCCTCTAGGTGCTTAAAAACAGATTACTTGACGACCTGCTCCACAGTCTTTCCAGGTATCGAGCTCAAATTGATTGGTCTATAATTCCTCCTTCTTTCCTTTGGTTTTTTCCACTATATTTGCCCTTTTCCAGTCATCTGAGACCTCACCTGATTTCCACAGTTCTCAAACGTAATAGCTACTGGCTCTGAAAATACCTTAGCCAATGTCTTCAATACTCTAGGATGCACTCGTCCAGCCCTGCTGCCTTGAAAACATCCATCTTGTTTAAGTAATCCCTAACCTGTTCTACTACTCTAGGTTGCTTCTCTGCTCCCCTGTCCTTGCTGTCATCTGTGCTTGTCATTTGGTAGCTGATCTCACTTTTGAAGACTGAAGTGAAAAACACATTCTTGACTCAAATGTACTCTGCATTTAGGACCTCAACTTTCCTTGGTTTTATTATTTCTAACGTACTTTATCACACTGCATCTGTTCTCTGACCAACTTTACATTCAATATGTAACTTACTTCACAGTTTATATGACATTTATATTTGTCTCCTAGCCTCTAAAGACATCATCTAGCCTTAGAGATTTTCCTTAGGACCCTGTATCATACAAGTTGACAGTGTGTTCTATTAACTAGTGGTATTGTGCTTCTCTGGGTTTCATTTTTACCTTAACTAATGTATGTTATCTTTTGTTTTGCTGTGCACATAATCAAGTCTAATGTACTTGAGAAATACCGCACACTCCCTGCTCCTAACTGAGTTAGTAAGGAGCAATCCAGACTCAGGTACAAAATGAAAGCTCCATTAAAGTTTCTACTGGCTCAGGTATAAAGAATCTGATTGCCTTTTAGCTAATTATTCGGCACATTCCTAGTAATCAAATGGTGCCACTAAGAAATATAATAGCAGCTGGGGAGTTCCTGGGTGTATACTTACTGGGCATGTATACATGTGCACATTTACTGCACAGTAACCAAAATTATTGCGCAATACAGGCATGCATCTACACATGTATGCCCGTACTGCCCAGTAAATATGCCAGCTTATGCCGACTTGAGCCTAAGTTTTATACCTGCATGATGCAGGTATCAACTTTATGCCCGATTAGTTACTGTGCAGTAACGCACATGTAGATGCCTTACTGCACAGTAACACTGCGTGTGCAGACTGTCTTGGGACTAACTTTAGTCCCAAGTTAGTCCACACACAGCATTAATGCACTTTAATGCCTGCATGTGTAGATGTCAGCCTGTTCCCACTTACTGCACTTCAGGTAGTTGTCAGCTGCTGAAATTACATGGTGGTGCAGCCCTATTGAATTGCAAAGGAAATTTTAGAGAAAAATGATTAATAGTAAGTGCCAGGCCGATAGATCTGACAGTAGAGATGGGAAGTATAATTACACATACCTTTTTATTGCTAGATGTGAAGAGTAGCACTCTAAGACAAAGGTCCTATTTCAAGTATGAAGTCCTTTTAACTCTGGTAAACAGCTATCTGGGATGGAGTGAGCAACAAAACATACAAAGAGTGCGAACCCCATTGGCTGGTCCCAGTAAAGTCAGTAGAAGTTTTGCTGTGGCCTTCACTGGGGCCAGATTTCACTCAGTGGATTTAATTGTGGAACTGTTATTTAGCCACTAGAATGAATGCTGATATTTTGACTAGTAGAAGCCCTTTATACAAACCTCTTTTAAATACGTTTTAAAACAGGTATGGCCTCTTATGGCCAAAGTAGGAGTCTTTCGTGTCTGGTCAGAGTAGGGATAATCTTCATAAAAGAAAGAAAGGAGTTGCATGTAGGGACCATTTCTCAGTCAGGGTAAATGCAAATTCTGCTTCCTTTCCCCTACCTCTCACTCTCCCTCACTTCAGCATGTACTTCTGCAGTACCTTGTCCAAAGGGCCTGCAGAGTGAATTCTTGGGGCAGACAATTGCTGCTCCACATTATGATAGGTCCTGATTTTCTGAAATACATATATGTGCAATTCCCATTTGGGGTGCAGCCTCATGTCATTCATTCTTATTTATGAGTCACTCTGCTGAAGAAGCAGTAGCAGCTGTGCTAGATCTACTTGTTTAGGCAATACTCAAAACCATCTTTGTTTTCTGTTTTGTGACTCACCCCCTGATCTTGGACATCTCACTTGGACCAAATTTTTCCAACTAGGATGCCTTAACTTAGGTATCTAATGCTGTAGTTAGACACTGAATCCTTTGGGGATGTACATTTGAAAATGTTGGCTTTACTTTCTCTTTTTCAGTTTCTTCATTTGTATAGTAAGGGATAGAAATATTGTGTAAAACAGATCAGCTGCAGGCTTGCTTCTGCTCTCACACCTATTTAATACTGGAGCAACTCCACTGACTTCACTAGAGCTAATATTAATGTATACCAATGCAAATGAGATATAATTAGCAGAAAAAATAATTAATTGAAAACTAGTCTCAGTTTAAATGAAACCCCTAAACTGGGGTGCCAGTTAGCAATGGCATTACAAGCACAGTTCCAACTGCAAGATGGAGCAGAGTACATAACGCCTTGCTCACCATGCTAAAAATAAACCAGCCAAAAGCCGAAACAAGATTAAATTTACCAAACCGTATCCCTCAGCTGATGTAATGTGGTATAATTTCATTGCCCTCAATGGAGTTGCTTTGATTTACACTAGCTGACAATATGGCCCATCATTTTGGAACATAAATTATAACAATTGAGTAGACATAGAAATATTATAACATTCTAAACCAGGATGTATATTACATTCCCATAGTGATGATTCAGTATTCTACAAGATCCAGGTATTACCTTCTGGATTCATTGCAGAAGCAGAGGCATACCTTACATAGATTTTAAGGAAGAAAAAATGAAGAGTTCCATTTCACTAATCCATGCCTAAATCGTTTAAGCATTGATCAATTCTGTTCAAAACACTATTCTGCCATAGATTTAGAATATTGATTCAATACTTGAAATTGATATATTTAATCTATATATGCTAATGATTTTAATAGATATGGCTAGAGATATTTTCCCTTGGTCCCAGTCCTATGAGCAGGTGCATTTTCTAACATTTTCAAGTAAACATAACAATAGTTGGCCAAATGTCCCTTTTTCTTTTTTTTTTTCTTCTGTGTTTTTTTCTTGCTGTCCTCATGCTTTTACCTGGTGGTACATCCTTTGGCAAGCACTTTGCAGTGAACAAGGGGGTTCCATCACTGGTCTCTGGTATCACATAGCACTTGAAGGAAGTTCTTTGCCTTTTTATGCATAAGGTCAGAGTGTATGAAAATATATGCTTGCAATGTATGCAACTGCTTTCAGGAAACAGAGGGAGAAATTTGAGAAGGGGAGGGAAGATAAGCAGGGACAGCTCACAGTCCTATTATGTGCTGTCTAAATTCTAATATGCTTGATTGTTGAGTTTTGGGGCAATAGATTAATTTGATATATTACCCCCATAGAGAAACAATACACACGGAGAATTCATGCTCCCTGATATAGGCTCTTGTGTTGGGAAAATTGTAGTAAATGTAGTACTGAAATGATGTTAATGCATAGAAAAAATAACAAGTGTATTACTGTGGACTCCAGGTGGTGCCATATCTAACATGTATGCTATGTTGATTGCACGTTTCAAGATGTTCCCAGAAGTTAAAGAGAAAGGAATGGCAGCTATTCCCAGACTGGTTGCCTTCACATCAGAACATGTATGTTTTTTTATTTTATACAATTTTTTATATTTGCTTTTGTTAATTAAACCACAACAGAAAGAATACTTGAACAAGAAATTTGTAGCTATCTGTCTTCATTCCTTTAATACTCTCATTGTTTCTTGTCATATAAAGGCACATGTCATATGCTGATTTCTTGCTGAAATGGGCGATCCTGAAAAAGCAGATTCTATAAAGCTCTGTCTTTCTGGGTCTCACTTATATCAGTAAAACTCTTGAGAAACTCCACTGTAACCTAGTGTGGATGTAATCAGAATCAAGTTTCTGACACGTCAGTAATTTCTTTGCCTATATCGCTTTAACTGAAGCAGCAGAAGCTGACACCATTTCTCCTGTAATTTAATAAGAGAGTAATGAAAAACAGTCTTGTGTAAATATTGTGTACAACAGAATACCAGATATATGCTTGCTACTGAATAAGGTGGTAGATTAGATATTAATTGTTCTGATGGGTGGAAACTCGGCAGGGGTCTATCAAACATACTAGGCTGCTTCAAGCAGACTGCCTTTTTGATTGGAAGCAGTGGAGCCACATGCATGTAGATACAAACTAAGGTTCTTCTTTGAAAAACCAAATGGAAATCTCAGTCCTATCTCTCCAAACTGAGGATTTTATTAGGACTCCAGTAACATCCCTGTAGCTACTGTCAGAAAAGAGGAAAAAAGGACAGACGGGTCCAAGGTCCTGAAATTTTGTGCATAAACTGGATGACAGCCACTGTGAGATGCTATATTGCTCCACTTCCCTGACATCATTCTGAAAGAGTTGGCTACCCTATATGGCAGTCTGACTTGTTGAAGTCCATGCTCTTAGCCCTGGGAAAAGCAGAGCTGAATGCCCTCAGAGTTGTTACAGCTGTCATAGTAGGGGAAAATCCCTTTCAGAATTTGTGCTGGCTCCCATGGGTGCAAAGATAAGAACAAAGAGAACCCCTGCAGGTCCACACCAAGAGGAACTGTCTGCATAGCAATAGCAGGGGGAAAACAATGCATTAAATAATAATGGCTCTCCAAAGAATGCCATATAGCAATAGATATACTGTACATATATCATCAACAGAAAAACTATTTATCAGGTTCTTACAAACAAGAATCAGCAGGCTTGTTTACAATAATAATTATCAATAGCTGTTAGATAATCTAACTTTATTTCACATAAATGGAATGTTACACAAAGAAGCACATTTTAATATCAGTTTCCAAATAATTAAATTAATTTAACTAGCGTTTACCAGCACACTAAGGGTAAAGAATATTTCTAAACAGTGAAAAATAATCCAAAATCAAAAATGTTATCTAATCTATAGAATGACTCATGAGATTTGAAGGTGATTTAAAAAAAATGTTGAACTGCAAATTTAACGCCTTCCATGAAATAGTTGCAAAACCACTGAAAACAATAGAGGATCCAAATTTGCAGTGATTGATTTAGCTATAGTTTTCCATAAAATATTTATGAGTGTATATTTTAGGATATTGCTTTAAGATAAAACAAAATTATTGAATCTGACTCTTGTAACCTTTAAATATATTTTAAGTATAATAGAAATTGTTACTGAATTGTACAATCCCAGGAGCATAGTCCTATTTAGAAAAGAATTGTTCAGAACAGACTCTGTGATCTTAGGGTGTCAACTCCCATATGAAGCTGGCATTCTACTCCATGTAATCCTATTCCAACTTGATGCTAGCTTCCCTCGGGTACAGTAGCATGCCATGGCTAAGCAAGAAACCCTTCCATAAACTGAATATTATCCCCACATACACACTTTGCATATGTGATGTAACGGTAAACAAAGCTTTAAAATTATAATATTTGTTTTGATGAATAAAGTCTGTCTGTCAGGGGACAATACATTTTGCAAGAGTTTTAACCCTAAGCAAAAACATCTAACAGGATCAAATCACAGACAGTTATAGCAAATCATAAGGCCAGATTCTGTTTCTATTTTCACCAGTGTAAATAAGGAATACCAGCATTGTTAAATTCATGATGTTACTCAGAATTACACTGATGTTACTAATATCAGAATCTGGTCCAATTTGGATTACATTTGATATGTTAGGACCTTGGGCCTCATGTGATATGATAACCTGTCTCTTACTGCATCTTTCCCTTTTCATTCCACCATGTAGGATAACAGGACAGCTGAGTTAAAACAGGTCAAATTCATCCCTGATATAACTCTTCAGCGTTTATACCGGGACAAAATTGAGTCTTCTATATTACTGATATGGCTATCTAGAAGCAAATACTGCTCTCATTTTCATTAGTGTAGATTTGGAGTAGTTCCTTTTATATCGATTATTGAGTGTGATGTAAAACCGAGTAGAATTTGACACTTGATCCAGAACAAGAAAAAGTAGAGACATCTATTGTAAAATTCCATAGTGTATATATATATGTTTTTTATACACAGTGAAAACTAAAATATAGAATACTTGCTGATTCTGCTTTAAGGTTGTCTGGCAAGATGAAACAGAGTACATACAGGTATATGTGTTCAGATAGGTGTTGCATTCTACAGCGCCTGAAGAAGAAGCTTGGCCAGAAAACCTCTGTCATCAATGCAAGGCCCTCAGCCATTACAGTCGTTTAATATATGAGTTCATATTAGTCCATTATTGTTCCACATAATGCATGATCCATATTAAGATGGTTAGAAAATCCCATTGCATTTTGTACTTGACATATAATTAAGGGCCATATGGTCTTTACCCTGAATGGAAGGAAGGAATAGCAGATGAAAATTACCTAGACTTGGGTGAGAAGACAGTGCTATTTCCACAGGTCTGCAGTGCTCTTCTCCTCCAGGTCTGCAGAAGCTTAAACAGTAAGTAGATCTGATTCAATCAGCATCAGCTTACCTGGCTTTCCATTCCCTTCTATCATACTGCTCAGGGAGGACTCCAGGACAAGTGGTAGGAAGGGGTACATCTGGCAGCATAGCTCCAATTGTACAGTTCTTCATATGAAACCACATAATAAAAACTGGAGACCCTAACAGTAAGAGCCCATGACTGAAATCTGATCTAGGCATGAGTGGTCCCAGTACTCATACAGGGACCCAACAGGATATGCAACAAATCCAGGAGGTTAATCTTTGCTTCTTACATCCCTCAGGTTGATATAGTGCTATAGAAATAGGCTGATTTTGGTAGAGGCCAGTTCCTTCTCTTTTTCATATTCCAGTATGTCTGTATGGGACAGAATACACTATGCTCTCCATCTGAAAGAATAGAGAGAGGTACTTAGGCATGTTAGCCATATGGTCCTTCCATAGCACCTGATAAAATGAGCTATGACTAACATAACCTTATGTCTCAGCTTATGCATTCAGTTAATCTATCTATAAGGTACACCTATACCCTGCCTTCAGCTAAAAGAATGTATAGGTCTATAGGTCTCTCAGAATTTCCTGTTAACGTATCTGGGAGCATCCCATGTAGGTATGGTCCTACATACATTCAAAGATTATCTGTAGGGGGAAGCCAGTGGATACATCCACATGTGTAATTAGCATGTAGCAATAAACTCCAGTACAGTTCATGCCAGAGTCAGTTGCTTCCCAGATGCAGCATCTTCACATGCACCTGGGACCACAGTTGTTTGGGGTGGAGCAACCCTGGGTTGGCAGGTGCTTGGGGGCAGCGGGGAGGTCAGATCCAGGCTCCAGGTGGCATTGTTGGGTAGTGGAGGAGCTAGCTGAGGCACAAGGATGCCAGCAAGCAGCCTCCACATTGTAGCACCTTCATGCCCCAGCCAGCCCTGATCACCATCTACATACGCATTTTGAAACACTAAATGGCTCTGCTGTAGGATAGTAATTATCCCATAGAGTGCTATCCTATGATGGAATTAATTAATTTACTGTGCCCTTATATGGGTGTATGTGTAGACGGTGATGCTGTACTGCAAAGCTAATTAGTCAGTTCCTCAGTAAAGTGCATGTGTAGATGTACCCAGTGGGCACGTCTACACTTGCATTTAGTGCACTTGAATAACATTCAAATGGTGTACCTGGAAGCAATTAACTCCAAAGCAGTCAGCTCCGGAGTTTATTCATGCACAGCATGTGGCAGGGAGGTCTGGAGAGTCAACCTGCCATCCTGGGGCTGCTCCCGCCAGGTCAACATGCTGTGGAGGGGCTGGCTGGGGTACAAGGGAGCTTCAGCGCAGAGCTAGCTGGCAGACAACCACTGTACTGAAGCACCCTTGTGCCCCAGCAAGCCCCTCCAGCGTCTACACATGTACTGTTGTGGAGTTTTCTACTCCACTAGGAACTCCCAGTATCAAAAGAAACCATGACAGAAAAAAAGCAGCATGGTGCACACACCAGGGGCTGGGCCCTCCAGGGAGACACTCTGGCTGCTGGCCGGAGCATCTCCCATCCTCTAGGTCCGCTCTGGCTCTCCATCTGGGAGAGCGGGGCATTAATTTGTGCTGCTACTCTTTGTACCACTGCAAGCACACACTGCTGCATGTGGGGACACAGCATAAAAGTGCATTCTTGTGAGTTAGCTTTATTTCACTTTAAATGCATTAAAAGTATCCCTCGGAGAAGTTAGTGCACAGTGTAAATTCATATTATCTTTCCTTTGAAGAAAGTCTTTTTTCCTTTGTAGACAAGTAACTGTAGTAAAGATCAAAAGTTCATGCCGTAATGAAAACTGTGCCAGTAAAGCTAGACAGAACATTTCTACAAAACATTTTTTAACAGTCCGAATATGTTATTATGTCAAAACCAAAATGTTTTGTGAGGACATGTTGATTTTACACATTTTTGGCAAAAAACGTTCCTGCAGTCCAGAGTGGATCTCTGGACAGTTCCAAAGAGAGGGGAGGATAAGGAACAGAGAACTTGACTGTTTCTATTCAGGGGGAGCATCTACACGTGTCGTTACTGCACAGTAACTTAGGTTAACATAAAGTTATTAAAAATGTATTCCCCCTAATTTAATAAATAACCTACTAA